CACTGGCCATTCCCGAGCTCCGTAACGTACGTTTAGGCATAGTCGCTGACTGCGCCGTCTTTTGTCGAGGTTTCGGGCGCGGCTTTGCAGGTGGAGCGGCGGACGCCAGAGCAGGATCCTTAGCCTGGCCGGACGCGATGAGTTCCAGCCCATGCGCCACATACCCCTGCCATTCTACGCCCTCTGTGGCCAGTCCCTTCGCATGATAGTCATTCAGACTGATCAACACGACCTCCCTTTGACGGATCAGATGATCACGCTCAATCTCGTAGTTGCTCCGGCGAGGCTCTTTCGGTTGTGCTGGGGTATTTTCTTTGCCTTTGCCCTTCTCGTTATCGTCCTTCTCTGTGCCCCCATTCTTGTGCCGCTTGACGGCTTTCCCCTTCTGTATCTTCTCTTCGTGTTTCCGCTTTTTGCTGCCCTCCTCCTCGTCATCCACATCATCACCCTTCTCGTCATCACTTCCATCAGAATCAGAATCGTCCGAAGAACTCTCCTCGTCGGAGGAATATATGGAGAGCAAGGACCTCAGTCCCTCCGCCGAGTCTATGTCCATTATCTGCGCCGCCTCAGATGTCGGCTCTCCAGGCACAGTAGCAGCCGACGTCGATGGCAATGAAGTCGCACCCTGTGCTGTAGACGTCGCAGCTCCTGCCGTAGTCGACGTCCCGACTATGACTGACTTCTTGTCCTCGCTGGAGTAGCACGTGACGAGATAGTCCTTGAACACGTTTACAAGTTCCGTCATCTTGTCATCCCCCCAGAACTCCGGGAACGTCAAAGGTACCTCCGCGTTACTCTTGCTGACCATCACGCTAACCAAGTCGACGCATTAGCCTCTGTTTATCAAAACATGACATAACCAACATACTTGAACGTATTAAACTCGCCTCCCGTCTCGCTCATCGGGCCCCCTACCAAGGAGAAAATGTGCAGGAAGGTACGTTGTTCACATCCCCGCTGAATGTCGCCTAAAAAGCCTTTCAGTTTCGCGACAGCACTGTAGTTTGACGTCAATGACCATAATTTCCCTAGACAGCGCCACTTACGCTGCTCGATCTTCTGGCGTCTTCGATGGTGGTTCCGTCAGCTGTCGTTTGTATTCAGCCTTCTCCTTGTTGCCTTCTTCGACAGCCATTGTCTTATATTTCTCGTTGTCCTCGGACGACAGCTTCTTCATCATTTCGCGAGAGATTTTGTCGTAAAACGTTACGGGGGGTTTCTCCGTTTTCTTGTTCGGTTGCGCAGCCCATGCACTAGCCACTGCTGCTCCCACGACGTCCTTTTTCTCCCGCTGGAACATAAAGACGGCATGAGGCTGCTTCGGTGCTTTTGTGATCCCGCACAGTCGCGCCATAAATATTTCGAAGGTGTCGTTAGCATTGCGCTTCGTAAGTTTCCTGAAACGCTTTCGGTACGCTTTCGCCCAGTATACCAACCAGCGTCGGATGGACTAACATAGTGTTATTTAGCACATCACGTGTGGCGCGGACAAATACGCACTTTATTTTGTTCGTTGACAATGGTGCGCTTCTTGGTGACCTCCTCCAGAGAGAGCTTGCTCTCATCGTTCGCCGCAGCAGCCTTCTTCACGTCGTATTCCTCAATAACACTGGGCTCCTCGTCGTCAGGCAGTGTATACGGGAAGTGAAAGTGGTAGACATTCAGGATGTGCTTCAAGCTGACCTCCGCCGCCTGCCAGCCACTGTCGATAGCTTGTGCAAATGCAGGGACATACACCAACATTGTCTCCTCGCGCATGCCGTCCATCCATCCTTTGCGGTTGCGGCGAGTCTTCTTGTCCTTTTTGACGTATCTGCGCTTCCGCGCGACATCCTCTCGCGCCATGACAGGTAAACGAAAAGGCCCCGTTGACAACATGAGTGACACCAGTCGGCACAGTCAGCCGGGCTCTGCACTTAGCAATTACCATTAGCCCGGACAAGCGCGGTCTACGCCACTGCCCTTAAATTCCCTAGACAACATTGATCCACACTGACAGCCCTTAAATTCCCTAGATCATAACAGGTACAACACACGATTTTGACTTTCCCATCCTTGCGCACTTGCCTCTCCCCCTCGCATGTCTGACCAGAAGACTCCCCTCGTTGCGCCGACTCCTGCTGACGCCGTCGCCTCAGCAGCAGCCACCTCCTCGATTGGAGCCTCCAGTACGTCTCGAACCTCATTTCATCCTGTTTATTGACGAGCCGCGCCGTAGGTGTTGACTATAGCGCTCCTCCACCCTACCCAGTCAGCGCCGTACCCGCATCCTTTCCCGCCAACACGGTCTATGACCCCCTCATTGATCTAGATGCCTACGTCGATGCAACTTATCCTCGCCGTTCTGGAATCCTATTCAGCAAGGTTCCATCTGGCCCACTTAAGCCCGCGTATCTCCCGGCGAACGCCGATGGCAGCAAAACGTTTTTTTACTGCGTTACTGTTGGCCTTAAAGTCGGCATCGTTACCGATGCGTTCGTGCTCTTCCTCCCTCGTTTTCAGCATCGACTAACTAAGTTATTGTAGTTCTATCGCCGCTGAGTACACGAACGGGGTGTCCTCTGCTTTCAAGAAAAAGTGTCACAGCCACAGTGCCGCGCTCAAATACTTCAATGAGGACCTCGCTAACGGCAAGGTGCGCATTGGAAAGTACCGCAAATCTAGTCGCGACCGGTAAGACCTGTCTTATTCTTTTCAAACCTTCCATTGATGCCGTATAGCTTGGTTTGGTGTGTTATTGTCTGATAGACAGCCCGGTCACCCGGTCCGTAGCCAGTATGATCACACCATGTTGTTACTTGTATGCCAGCCTTGCTAGAACCCTTCGTTCCCCCATCATGTCGTCTGCTAAGAGTTCGCAATCGTTCTTTATCGTCCTCACAGATTCCGAGGATGAAGGTGACGGATGTTCTGTGTCCACGCCGTCCACCATTTCCCGTAGTCGCAAGGCCTCATCCAAAGCTGCGTCGCCTCCGCGCGCTGATTCCTCTGATGATGATCTGCTCGCTGCGGCGTTCTCCGGCCTCTCTGTGGACTCCCCAGACTCAGGGAAGCTCTACGCCATCCAGAAAGACGGCCACACGCAGGTGACCACACATTGGTATGTCCTTTCACGCATCACATCATCCCTTAATCAATGATCATGCATTTCAGGGCGGATGCTGGCTATGAGCAGCAACACAACGGCGCCCAAGTCGTCGCCCTCAGTCCAAAGAAACCGAAACCGAAGACCTCAGCTGGGGCCTATGTTATCTTCGTTGGGCGCCAGCCAGGAGTCTTTACCAGTTGGTATGTCCATTTTCAATCTGTCCTCGTCCTTCTGATTGTATCCCCAGGGCGGAGTGCAACGCCGCCACCTCGCGATTCTCTGGGCTATCTATCAGGGTTATCTTACCCGAGAATTCGCCACGGCTGCCTTCAAATACGCAGTCAGGGCGCACCTAGTCCGAAATGGACTCGCGCCAGCTCGTTCCTTCCGGAAAGTCCGTGTTCGCAATCCTGCGCTGGTCGTGAGGTCCACTGATGGGCCGCTGAGTGTCGGAGCTACCCACAAGGCCTGGTACAACGTCTATTCTGGGACCCAACCTGGAATCTATGCCTCGTAGTACGTACCCATTCACTCCTACATCCTACCTTCACTTACCCGCCATCTCTGCAGCGTTGAGGCGGCATTTCACTTTGTTAGTATTCCCAACTCGCATCATGAGTGTTACCCGTCTTTTGGGCAAGCTCGCACCGAGTGTCTTCGTGCTTGCGCTGAGGGCGTCATCTTTGTACTCGAGCTCATTCCTACTGTTTGATGTATCGACTACTACTCACCAACCTGTTGTAAATCGTATCTGACTATCCTGTATGCATATTTTGGACAATCCACCCTGAGGGACTTCATTCAACGAGTTATGCATCCAGGCTACTTTCTAAGTATCTAATATGCCTTCATTTTGCTGATAAAAGAGCTGTCCATTCGCGCGCGCCTCCCGGAACCAACCCCGCACAATCTGCGTACTTATGTCGATCGCGGAATTGACGGCATATAAGAACCGCGGCATACATGATTGAACAAAAACTAAGAGTGGCCCATCGCCCAAATGAGTGGAGATTTCCCCCTCGATACACTCTGCACGATATAAAAATGACCTCAGCTCCTGAGAAACATCTGATAAAAGCGCCGTCGCTGCATCACTATCGTCGCCCAAATCCATAATTCTCTTGCACAGATCATGGGCCCATCCGTAGAGAGAGTTGTTCGTATACGCCATCAGCCTCGCGTCAACGCGCAGGAACTTCCGACGTAGGTTACGATTCAGCGCAGCTGGTGACAGGCTGCAGGCTGTATTAAATCGATCAGTCACAGCGCACAATAATTGGAGCAGAACGCACGTCGCATCATGTTCCTCTTCCGTCTCGAATTTCGCAGCGCGCCCTCTGCGTGTGCGGCCGTCTATCTTACTGGGATCCTTGCGTGCTCTGTACTTGGCGCGTGCTTTAGCGTTAAGCTGGTCTTTGTTCCTAAACACAACATTATGTCCACATGTATATCGTAAAATACAACTTCGCTGACCTTTCCCAATATTAACTTTTTGTCTCTCGACGTGCAAAGTCGCGATCCTCATCGGTCAGATACCTATTCTTCGCCATGACCCCAAGAGCCAGATAAATTCTCGATGTTGGTGATGTTGGAAAAGTGATGGTCAGAAACCAAGTGTTTCGATCGCTAATTACTGTAAGGTGATCGTCTTCGGAATCGCAGTTTCCCTAGACACTTAGCCTGTGTCCACTTATGACATCCTTTTTTCGACAACCTCGCGCCGTAGATTGGGTTATATATCTCACAGGCTCTAGTTCACACTCAAAATGAGAGGTGATACACCTCGCAAGCGACCTTTTTGGCCAAAGTGGGCCTGCCTATTTTCCCTAGACGTAAGGCCTGGAAGTAAGGCTTCTTGACACGGCCTTGTGTGAAGAGGGCCTGAGCCTCTTTGTACTATCTTATTCCGACGGAGGTGGTGTAGTGGTTTAGGCATGTCGTGGCAGACCCACGAAGGCGCTTGGTTCGAGTCCATGCCCGCCGTCCTCTGTTGATTGAGAAATTTTTTTTTTCCAGGCCTTTAAAGTTAATAATGACAAGGGCGAACTTTTTAAAAATTAAAATTAAATCTTAGTTGCAATTTTCAGCGAGTATAGTACTTATCCTCATGCACACTGACTCGACTTGGTGACTGGTCGGTCACTGGTGGAATCACTGTATTGAAACTCCGCTCTTGCCTCTTTGGGTTTCTTTCTCGCTGTCAACGCCCGGACGTATCTCTTTCGGTCTTATCGCGTGCCTCCCCGCCTCTTAGCATTGCCTTGTCAACGTAAGCCTAATGAGGCATGTTTGGCTATTGCAAGCATTGCTCCATGCGTAATGGTAATGATCCGGCGACCCTTGGCTCCAACTGGTACAAAAGCTGTCTGCATCGTCTACCCAACGTCTGCCCAACATATCATGCCGAATCTACCTGCCTGTGTTCCGCCTTCTCCTCGTCGTCGCGGCCGTCCCAAAGGGCCGAAATCTCCCACTCGCCGTCTGACTCTCAAGTCGCATCCTCTGATTGTGGCGAGAGGTCTAGGGAAGATCAATTTCCCTCTGTCGCCTTTTTCAAGTCGGAAGTGCGTTCATTTGTACTGTTTCTCCCGACTTCCTTGTTGACGCTTGACCTTGCAAGGCGGATTGAGGCACACGTTAGGAAAGCGCGCCCCATTCGTGCGAATTATGAATTGGGGACCGCCGTCCAGCATACCCGTAGGTAGTTTCTGGATTTCTGATCCCCAAGAGGCTGACCGTTCGTTAGGCCAACAACAAGGCGGGACGACCTTCACTGCTATGGATGAGCCTAGTTATATTAAACCCGCCGACGCACGCTTCATCCACGACGACGTTGGACACTTCCTCGAAGCTTACAAGGTCCTGTCGCTGGAGAAGCGGTTTCTAGCCATGGGTATTTATACGTACGAGGACCTTATCACCATTGCCGTCGATATTCGCGGCGATCAGTCTCTAAGGAAGGAGTTCAGGGCGGGAGTAGAAGCGTCCGACGATGACTGGCGCCGCCTGAAGCGGGGGATATACCGCTATGCTCGCCCCATCCGGGAGAACACAGAGTCGGCCCAGGCTGACGGGACTGATATCCCTGTTGTGGCGGCGGAGGAGGTTGACGCCTGACATTCTGAGGAAGGTTCTACCGTAGTCGTTGTTGCAGCGTGTATGGTTGGTAATTCACATTGTTTGATCGTATAAAGGCTTGGGATGTCGGACGAGGGTTCATCTAATTCCCCTCGACCTTTCCTGCATTTTCCCTAGACCCACCCTGGATTTTCCCTAGACTTTTCGTGATGGGGCGCCTCACGTTTGATCCCTGCCTTCTCCGATTCAACGGGGACAAATACTTCTTCGACGAGCACTGCCCCCACGAAACTGCGGGTGAGCCCTACGAACGGGCACAAAGGTAGGTCGATTTACTGTCTGTTCTGCCAAACACCATTGACACTGTCTTTTTAGGATCATTGGACGTTTCACTGCGACTCTACCAGCGTTTATCCCTCCCCCAGGCTCGGACAGTGCCATGGAGCACGACCTGGTTGATGCTTTCACCAGTTGTCGTGGCGCCTACCTGCTGCCGCGCCTGCAGAAGTGTGGCGTAATGTCGTTGGCTCACTTCGGGGGCGTTTGGAGGCTGTGCAGGAATACGATGTTTGCTGGGTATTTTCGGATGGCTATTGCCATGAGCGTCGCCGGCAAGAACTGGAATGTCCTGAAGCGTATGGGCATGAGGCTCACGGATCCGGATGACCCAGATTGGGGGGAGGAGGGTAGGTTCATCATTGTCATTATCATTTCTACTAGCTGACTGTATGTACAGTTATGCGGTTGCACCGGGTGGACGTGCAAAAGTCCAAGGAAGAGGCAACGGCGTTTCTCATCAGCTGCCAAGACATCATGGCGGAGTTGGGGCATAGGGATCCTGTCCGTCGTGTTATTTCGTACGATGAGTCCAGTGCGGCGCAGGAAGCGGAGGTCGTTGAGGCGGCTGCCAGTTTGCGTTTAGATAGTGACGAGGAGGAGGACGTACCGGCATTGATCATTCACCGTACTGATGGCGAAATGTGCGAGCGCATGTGGGCGCCACGCTAAATGTACAGCCTCGCATGTATAGGATATAATAAGCATCAGGCCAATGGGCCGTTCTTTCCAGTGAACAAATATGTACAAACTATATTGGTCCATGTGGGTTGATATGTTCCTGGTTTGCATGCACCCTTTGGTCGCTAAGATGGCCGAACAGCAGGGCTACGGCGCTTACCGGATTATTCTCTCCCTTCTGCGATGTATCCGACTCGCAATCCTGATGGCCGCCCTCGCAAGAATCCTGTTTTCAGCCATGAGCAACACCGTGCACAGATCGACCACAGCGTGCATATCGACAACGATGGAGTCGTAACTGAGAACGCTTTACTCAACACCCGGAATGGACGAGTGCCCGACGCTGTCGAGCGACGTATGACGGTTCTACATTTGAACGAGGTTCATACTGTGGCGTTCCGCTATTGTGGCTGTGGAGTTTCGGACGACGAGTTGCATTGGCAGCAATTGATGTGATGTGGCTGGTACCCCGCTACGACGCGCTCACCGGCTACATGCGCCACAATCGAGCTGTTGTCGTTCTTGCGGCATCTCAAGACCCAGGCCACTGTGAACATACGTGACTTCACGACCGTTTTGGAAGACGAGTCGAACCCTTATGGAACAGAATTGACGCCGGATCGTTACAAGGCTTTACTCCGAATGGCGCGGCAGTGGGCATTCCTGCAGAGGGTGAGGAGGTCTGGGGTAGCGCATGAGGAGGGTGGATTGGCTGATGCTGATGATGGTGCCGTACGCGTTGAATGCTGGGCATGTCCCCGGGTTGGCGTGAATTTGCCGAAAGACTGGGACAAGGTGGCAGAGGAGTTTTGGTCAGTCTTTCGGCGCTTGTTTTGTGTTACGAGACCTGATCAAGTTGTTAGGTATCTGTATCGTAGAGTCGTCTCCACCGACGCCAACTTTCAGATGAAGAGCAAGCTGCGTCCATCGCCGTATGTGGATCACCCTTTGTACTCTGGTTTGGGTGTTTAAATGCCCGAGGATCAATACCACGATTGGTTACGAACATACATTACCGAGGAGGAGGTTCGTACAATATTTCATTTCATTTCTGTTGTTTAACGTTGGTTATTAGGTCTCCAATTGCGTGGCATTTGCCGCCTTAATGCAGAAAGATACTAAATTCTCTGTGGGACTGCGGTGGGCTGGCGTGATTGGAGTGATTTGCGGTTGTCATGAGCTCATGCTGAGTCTAGGGGATTTGGAAAAGGGCGAGAGGTATGTCGACCTGTATATTGCAACCGGGTGATAGCTCACATGTTTTAATAGGTATAAAAACACAGATTTCGTTTTGTATTCATTGCTGTCGAGGATGGGTCTGAAGGAAGTGACGGTAACCTATGACATAGCTTGTCAATATCTCAAGCATTTTCACGAACGCGTTCTCGCTCTGCCGGCGGGGCTGAGGGAATTGGGACTACCAGAAATTACATGGGGACTGCCGGTCTGGCACGCGGGCGTCCACGACATCAAGTGCGAGGCGGCTGAATCGCTGAAGTACAAAAGCGGTGTTGGGAAGACGGATGGCGAGGGAATAGAGCGGGTATGGTCGGTGTTCAACCCGATGTCATATATGACCCGGGAGGAACAGCCGGGTGCGCGCGCGGACGACATTGAGGATAAGGCGGACTGTCATAATTTTGCCAAGAACATTGGCCTAGGTATGTTGTTTGCGCTTATATAGGTGATGAGATTATTGACGAGCCCACAGGTCAGACTTTGTTGCGACGTCTGCGAATCGCATTGCAGGAGCGCGCGGTGCAGATCAAGAGCTTTGAGGAAGCCGACTGTGCGCTCGATGACGACTTGCGTAGTGACTGGATGGAGGGAGTATCTGCATGGCTTAGAGACCTCAACGAGTCAGATCCGGGTCTGACTCGCGATCCGTGAGGCGAGTACTCGAGGCCAAAAGCCTCGATCCGCGATCCGCGTTTGACTCGACCCGCGTTGACTCGCGAGTCAAACGAGTCGAGTACTCGCGAGGTTTGCGAGTACTCGTGCGCGATCCGGGTCGTCGACGGATCTCACGGATCAGCCCCCTCAAACTTGCCCAAAGTTCATTCATGCCTGGTGAGCATCCCCGGGCAATGGCACGGGGATACTCAGCCGTGCATGAGTACGGACTGAGGGTAGTAGTGGTGGGGGTGATGGGGTGATGGTGGTGTGATGGTGGTCCTGGTCGTGGTATGATGGTGGTGGGATGGGAGAAAAAGGAAAAAAAGCCACTCACCCAACACTGTTCCTGCCTCGGCTCGCCATCCCACTACCGCCACCATCGCCGCATCATCTTGTCGTTGGCGTTGTTGTCGACGCGTAGTCGCGAACGCGTCGTCGATCTCCTCATCCGCGTTGGCGGTGTCCTGCATCGTCGTAATATCGGTGTCTGGTGTCCATCGTCCGGTGTCCATCGTCGAGTCGTTGTTGTTGTGCATCCTCTGCTGCTGTCGCAAAGACAGAAGCAGCAGGCCCGGCATGAAGCCAAGGCCAAGATCCACCACCCGGCATGCAGCCAAGGTGGAAGTACACACCCCAAAGGCCGCCTGACAGTCGTCAGAGCGGCAGAGGCGACAATCGTCGCACTCTGGGTGGTCGTGGTGGTGAGTAGGAGAGAGAGAGAGGCTGTGATCGCACGCTTACGCGGCCTCTCGGCATTTGCCGGATCGTGAGAATTTCTAGCAAATTCACGCGAACGTCTCATTTGGGCGACGCAAGGGCCCGTTCAACTTCTAAAAAATTGGTAAATTAAGTTTAAATATGTATCTACATTATTACGAGTCAAACCGAGTACTCGCGACGAGTACTCGTGCCTCCAAGGCCGTACTCGCGATCCTTCTCTGATCCGACCCGTTATCGATCCGCGGATCAAACGAGTCGGATCACCGAGACCCCC